CGGTAGTCAGTCCCTTATCACTACTGCTGACCCTTTTTACTTTATCCTCTACACAAAAGCCTCCAATCTCAACACTGTCATGTAAATGCTCAACACTGCAGCGTGATATTTCTTTTACCTTTGAAAAAAATCCTGCTATATTTAATACTGATACCTGTAGATCCTTCTGCAATCGCCATGGCTTTATCACCTCTCAGAGAACTGCTTGCTAAGGGAATCCAAGTCTATTGTTCTAATCCTAAGGTTTGGTCACTATTTGGTTAGCAGCATAAAATGATTGCAAACATTTTCCAAAAAAGAGTAATATGGGAAAACAGATCATTTGCAGGACATACCTGAAGAGAATATAATGTTAATGTAATAAAAGGTCTGATTCGCTGGAGTGCTGATTTTGGTAAAAATTATGAGATTTTCAGTACTTCTGAAAAATCAGTAAGTAAAACAGCACCTTCATTAATCAAATCCCTGCTTAGTTATAGATGAAATTGAGTTACATTTCTGAAACATTTCAGTTATATTGAAAAGCCCCTAATTTTTCCAAAATATCGTTTGTCTGAAAAAAATTGATATCCTGATAAATGGGGTTCTATAGTATTATTATTATAATAAAAACTGATCCCTTGTGATCACTTAGTGAAGGCAATCTTATTTTGTTCAGCAACCTGCTACGCCGTTCAACGCACCCTCTGTTCAAGAAGATGGATTTACTCGGACTACTGTATCTGTGCCAAGTGATACCTGAGTAAAGCATTACAAACAATGCAAAAATCAGCAATAATTGATGCTGAAAAAAAATCCAACCCACATTCTCTTCTTTTCAAGTGGGATGCATTTTTTTCAATCTGCCACAGGATTTTTACCGTTGTTAGTTTGATTCACGCTTTTCTGCTTTTCAGAATTTAGGTTGCCTGCACGCCTATCAACATCTAGTTGTCATATGAGCTTTGGCTATTATCAGCATCATTTATTATTTGAGTTGCAGCAGCACCAAGAGACACCAATTAGGATCAGGGCCCCATTGTTCTAAAGGACATACAAACAGAACGCAAAAGATGGTCCCTGTCCAAAAAAGCTCACAGTCTAACATATTATAATATCAGTTAAGGACTTATGGAAACACCTGCTTTCATCACTATGCAAGTGCGCCACATTAGGATCCACAAGTGCAACTTCCGTGGTCCGGTTCTGCAAAGTGTGGAAGTTACTCATGAGAAATGCAGTCAAAAGGGAGCATGGCAAGCACAGCACTCACTAGGAAGAACTCAGCCCCTTTCAGGATCCTTACAACCTGATAAGCTTGCTGCCATCATGGGTACTTTAGGATACTGAACCTAAAGCCATTAGGAACCAACGAATATTTTGTGCGACTGCTATCATGGCAGAACAAAACCACACAGAAAATGTTGTCCGAAAGCTGCAATGCGGTGATACTAATATGTTCTATATTTGGATGATGGAAGTGAAATAATGATGATATTTTGATGAATGAACTCCCATCATAAAAAATAAACTACAATTTTACAACACGTGAGTCATCTTAGTTCTATGTATCCAGATACCACATTTCTAGGGTAATATGCCCATTGATGGTTAATGACACATTCTATAAAGTATAACAAGCTTGAATTTTAGAGGTGCTGAGCATGCACAGATCCCAATGCTGTGTTACAGGCAGTCCCCGGGTTACGTACAAGATAGGGACTATAGGTTTGTTCTTAAGTTGAATTTGTATACAAGTCGGAACTGGCTCCAGATTCAGCTGCTGCCACTGAAACTGACCAGGGGCTGACTACAGGAAGCCGGAGGCAGAGTTGCTCCGCCCCCAGCTTCCTGGAATCAGCCTGATCAGTTTAAATAGCTGCTGAATCTGGAGCCTGGGACAGAACAGCTGGGGCGCTGCCCGGTAGGTTCCCACAGGACCAACCCGGCAGCACCCCAGCTGCTCTACCCGAGGCGGGCACGCTAGCTGCGCCCCCTCCCCCCCCAGCAGACCAGGTAGACCCGAGCAAAGTCGCCCAGGCGGCGGGACCCCAGCTGCCTGGGCGGCTTTGCTCCCGGGCAAACGAGCAAAGCCGCCCAGGCAGCGGCTTTGCTCGGGTGTCCCTGGTCTGCTGGGGGGGTCCAGCGGCTTTGCTGGACCCCCCCAGCAGACCAGGGAGACCGGGAAAAGCTTTTCTCACCCCGGAGGACACGGGTGGCAACCCGCCGCCCGTGAGCTCCGGGGCGAGAAAAGCCCCGTTCGTAAGCACGGATCCGACTAAAGTCGGATCCGCGTAAGTCGGGGACTGCCTGTACATATAAGAAATAGATATGTAGATATAGGTTTAAAAGAGTTTCCAATGGCTGTATGTGCAAACCATGCATATTAAACTAGAAGACACTTATTAAACAGGGATGTTAACAGAATGATGTTTAATGCTTTAGCTGCAAAATCCCGCTTCTACATCTTTCCTTAAACAAGCAGTCCCAGAGAAGGCAATAAGAGCACGAGCAGATGTAAGCTTGCCGATATTTGACTCTATTTTGGGATAATATAAATGAATTATTGCAATTCATCGTCTCTGTTACACAGGGTTAACATTGCGTGATGAGACATGATCTAATTCACAATTCACTTACAAGTTTCTGGATTTCTGACGGTCTTTCAAGAAAGAAAAACAATATAAAAGTTACTTATCTTGGCCAGATCACATCCCTTTTTCATATTTCAAACTCCATGCACTATACTACAGTAAGCCTGGTAGCATATAAGACCATTAATATTTGTTTTTATTTAAACTGGTATTGCTAGAAGTTTGAACTAGGGATGTTAAAAGATGTTTAATAAGGTAATTGTGTAACCACTAAAAATCTTAGTGGTTACATGCTGAGGGCTCTGCAGTACAAAGCTCAAATAAGCTTCATACTGCAGAGCCCGCAGCGAAGTCTCCCAGGCATGGGGCCACCAATAGGGATGTTAAAATGCATTTAATTAAGTAATCGTGCAACCACTGACATTTTCAGCAGGTACATGGTTTCACATGAGCTGGTGTGCATACCCCGTGCTTACGGGTTCCCACCTGCCCTCTATATTAGCATTAACAGATAGGGGTGGGGGGGCAGCCGGGTAAGCTGGCTTTCCTTGCATACCGGGAGTCCTCATGTAACCGGGCATGTTAACTCATGAGCCCAAGTTCATCCGTTAACCATGTACAGGGTTACACTTTCACATCTCTAGCCACCAGCCCCAGCAAAGCCACCTCCCTCGAAGTGGGGTAGGGTTTAACCAATAGCATTAACTGATGAGCATCAATGTATTAGTTAATAGGTTAAACTCGAACATCCCTAATTTGAACTATACATAGTATATCACCAAAGGAAGCAGACACCAATAAAATACTCCATAAGAATTAAAGAGAATTGTTACACACATTTTGGGTCACACTCATCCATGGGACAAGTTAGCTGACATTAAATGAATTACTTAAGGGATGATTTGATCTACTGCCCCTATACATTTTAATATGATTAAAAGTTGCTTCCAAAACTATTAAAGAAATACTGTAAACCATAACTTTAACATATACAATTAACTGTACATGGCAAAGAGAATAGGCTGAACAGTTCTGGACTGATTCTGAATCAAGTTAGGTCTGCTGTCTAAATATAAAGTAGTTCAAAAACTGTAATAGATTGTACACTATAAGAAATAACTAACAACATCAGGTTCACACATGAAGGTGAGATTCCCTTTTACAATTAAACTAACAGTGTTGTAAATTTGCATTGTCTTGTAGTTGGCAAGCCCATAACTGATGGGAGCCTGGAGAACCTGATCACCCAAGTAAAACTGGTTGATAGCTGTTCTCATCAACCAGTTAGTTAAGGGACATTGGAAAAAAAAACATTTTATCGCTTGTTTCTGCAAGATAGCAATCAAACCTTGCGTGGCAAATTCACCTGTGGTGTAACTCTATTGATGTCAGTGGAATTTCACGAGGGGTTAACATGGCCCACTGATAATACATAGCTCCAATGCTTCTGCATCCTTTAGAAAACAGAATTAAAATGGGTAAAGCTCTAAATATTTAACAGGAACAGATTGAGCCATACAAGCATAGTGTACTTTACCAGGAGTGAGAGAGAATGCATGCATGTGTGCATCTACATGAAAGAGACAGACATACAAATGTTGTTATGTGTTCCTCATGCCTTTACTTGTAGCAAGTAAGCCAATAGCTTTATGTACTTACATCTCCATCTAGTGGCCTCTGATCATCACAATCCCTGGTTGGGCTGATGTCCTGTCTCATCACCCAGATGGGTTCTTTTGGTTCATCTGGGGTATAAGGGGAACGAATGGTCCTTGTCTTCACTTCCTCAATAGCCTCTTTAATATCTTTAATGGCCAGAGATATTGCATCCCTTTTTTCCTTGCTGTATCTCTGCACTGACTCTCCTGAGTTGGCGGTGGGCCTGGAGCCAGTTGGGAGCTGACCGTTGCTCTCAAGTGTCCCCCTACTGGGAGTATGGGCACATTCCAAGTTCTGCTCTGCTTCTGGCATATCTTCAGCCAGCTTGTCTAGGCTCTGAGAACTCATACTCTGTTTCACCTCAGCCACAATCTGATCAATGTCTTCCTCTTGTTCATAACTGTCCATCCTTGGATAGGGAGCAAATTCTGCCTCCTTCTCGGGGCTGTCAGACTCTCCATCGGACCGTTCATCATAGTGGTGAAGGCGGGCACCCAGAGCTTCCTTGCGATAGTTGTCAGCTTCCTCCCTCTCCTGCTCGTAGAGTCGTAGACCCTCCCTGACATCCAGGTCAGGTGCATCTCCTATTTCCTCATACACATGCTCCTGCAGTCCATAGTCGGCGTAAGGCTCAGCATATTGTTCATCTTCCCCTCGATGGAAGAGCCCATGAGTGTAAACATAACCCGAGTAGGCAGCATTCATAGCTTCCTCATGTTCAATGGAATGAAAGTGTAAGTGGTTAGGGAGAGTTCGGGCATGAGTGGCCTCCGCATGCTCAGCTTCAGCATTTTCCGTATACTCTTCAGACTCAGGCCTATACTGCACTGCATAGGCACTCTCGTCCTCGTTTTCCTGGACTCGGTCTGTGTCATAGCCATACTCTGCTGTGGCTATGACATCCCCTTCAGCAGTATCAGTGTGATTGTGGAAGCCACTCTCAGTACTGGCCGACCGAGCTAGCATCCCCTCCTCCTCCTGCCCCGACTGGCCTTGGCTGCCACTGGCATGTCTCGGGTAATGAGTGGCATATTGCTGCTGCTCCTCCTCCACCTCAGAGTGCTCCAGGTCAGCCTCCACAGACTCGTTCACCTCTCCGTTTGCTGGCTCGTCATTCACCTCCCCCTGAGGTGGCCCCTCCAAATGATTCATGGCAAGGTCTGAAATGTAGGCTACTTATTCTATGGACATTTTGTCTACTGAGGCTGAAAAGAAAGAGAAAAATAAAGCTGATTATAAAGTACCATGGTGATTACAAGGTCATATGATTTGATAAATAATGTTGTGGCAACAAAAGGCATCTCCTCTTCCCCAGTTAGTGGTGTAAGTAGGGTGGTCCAGTCCACCATTCTCATAAGATATTTATAACCAATCTCTGTGCCAGAAGACAGAGGAGAAGCAAAACATGGGGCCACTAGGTAGCCCCAAGTGCTGCTGCTGCAGTTCTGGAGAGCCCTGTTGTTTTAGAAGTTCCCTGAGCAGCAGGAAGAGCACAGACACTCCCCTCCCAGCCTTAAGGTAATGTAGGATGGATAATGGAACGAGAGGGGAAGAAAGTGTGGGTCTCTGGGCTGGAGTCATGTGCCCCCTCTTTAGCTGGTACAGCATATTAGTAAGAAATAAATTCTACTTGCTGTACCATCCACAGTAGACACATATATAGCCTTCTTGGCTCTAGAGTCGGTGGATGGTAATCACGTAGATGGTCTACATCAGAATCAGACACTTGAAGTGTCACTCATGAACCTAGGGGAACTGTAGAGTTTACATTTTTGTAGACATATTTTATGAGAAAGAATTTAATTTCAGATACAGCAAGGTAAAATTTAATTAATTCTAGTTATTGCCCTGTAGTTGCATTAGTGCACGTCTTCAGTATCTGAAAGCATAATCTCACTCCTCAAATGCAAAAATGGGACATTTTCTGTTTTTATTACAAGCAGCAACTAAATATATCTTTTGTGTTCTTATACACAAGCAAATTATATCATTTTTCAAGGAGTGTGTGGTGAATGGGAAGAGGAGTAGCGGTAGTTCGAACTAGGAAGCCTAGTTCGAACTACCGAGTTCGTGCCGCGTGTAGCCACGCGGCACGGGGTTCGAACGAGCGGGGATTTAAAAATGGCGGCGCCCCGCTTATGCAAATGAAGCCCGGGAAATTCAAATCCCGGGCTTCATTTGCAATTGCGGTATGCCTACATTACCCTCCTAGTTCAAACTAGCGGGGTAGTGTAGACATACCCTAGTTTACTCTTGGGACCTAGTCCTAATTGTCTTACCTGTAAGGGTTAAAAGTACAGATAGTGGGTCCTAGAGAGTCCCCAGGAATGCTAGGGAAGCATGAAGTAGGTTGGCAGGAGGCTAAGAGAGGCAACAGAAGCAGTGTGTGGGTTTTTGAATTGGAAGCAGAGACTTTTCTGTTCCTGCAGTTGTGTAACTAGAGCTGAGCTGGAAGGACATAAATTAAGCCAGAAAGCCAAGCATGGAGTATCCAGTGACACCTGTGCCAAGGGAAGGATTAAATCTTGCAACAACAGATATGTTAGAAGAACAGGGAATGTTTAGTCAGACACAATCAGGTTATTTTCTTTTATTTTTGGGTTTGTTGGACTTCTCAGTGCTGAATACCCCCTTACACTGTAACTTGTTAAACAGAATCCCAGGAATTCTCTGTGTTTCATCTTTTTTATTTTTTAGTTGCTTTGTAACATCTAGCAACCAATTAATGTTTTACCAAGTGTTTTCTCTGTTTTGTTAATAAAAACCAGCCTTTTAAGTCCACAATCTGATTCCTATGTCTTAGAGGATGAGAGGTTCTGTATGTACCTGCCTAAGACTACAAAGCTGAACTACTAAGAGAAATTAAGTTTTCAAGCTCTCTCCAGGGGGAAGAGTTAGAGCTTGAAGGTACACCACAGGAAGGAATTCCCAAGTGTGCCTTCCTGACATGGATTTTCATATTTGGGAGGTGGTAGCCGTTAGGGGTGCAATAGTGTAACAGTTTAAACAGTTAACTGATCAGCATGAGCTTATTGGTTACTGTAATGGTTACATGCTGGCTCCTCGCTCCCAGGAAGCTGGCTGCCACTCCATGCTGCTGGCCTTCCTTGTTATTTTTGCAGATACCAACTAACACAGCTACCCCTCTGATACAAGCAGAGCCCAGCGAGTCAAAGCAAATGGAGAATGTGGCAACGTAAACAACACAAGGATTCTGCTATACTGAAGCACTTTCATCTCAGTGTATTTTCTAAAATAAGGAGTCCTCTTGATGAAGTCCATAACCACGAGGATTCTTGCCATATGAAGCAATGCATCACATTTTCATTTCACTGAATGTGTGTGTTTGGCACAAAAATAATCAAATAATTACTAGAGAGGCCTGCAAATTAAAAACAAACAAATATTGCAGGGAAGGAGAGGAAGGGGGGAGCTCAGAAAGCAACCTGAGGATGGACTTCTTCCTTTCCCTGTACTGTTGGGTTTAGCGGATTCAGAAAAGTGTCATTTTCACCTCTGTCTCAGCTAGGCTGAATACTGCCAAGTGTTTTGAAATTCATCATCTTAGGAATAAGGATGTCTCAAGTATTTCAACAGTCGAACCATGTAGTCAGTACTAGAATATAATTTTATCTTGTGGTTTATTATGAATGACAAGGGAGAAAAGGTGCTGATAAGTCAGAACATTTGTACTTTGAAGATACTATAAATATAAGTCAGATGCTAATAAAAACATTTCACACATATATAATGCAGAACGTGTGTCAAATGTCATGAAACTGGTGCATGTGTCTCAAAGTGGAAACTAAAAAGATAAGGCACCCAAAAGAATAAGCCATTTGAAAAAGAATTGTGGCTCTGATCTTCGAACAAGACTTTCCAACACTGGAGTTTATGCTAGTGTAATGCCTGAGCAAATGTAGCACGTTGACTTCAGACTCCAATGCATGTTACTTCTACTTTAAAGAATAAAGTTTAATCTTTAGTTATAACATGAAAGCTATCTGTTAAATAACAATTTATAAAGAAATCATTTGAGATGTGGTTGAGCAGATGAAAATACCCACACACACAAATAACCCTATTTCTTCTAAAAGGATCTTAAAACACTGCAAAAAAATACAATTCAACTTCTCAATGGAAATATTAAAACATGCAGGAGTATTAGTCAAAAGTACATGGGCAAGAATCCTCCAGTGGCAAAGGAATGTGTTTTCCATGTATGATTTCTAGGAATCTAGAGTAGAAAAATCATTATAAAACACAGAGAATTAGATCCACATTAGTCAAGAAACTTGAAATTGATAATGGTCATCTTTTGGTCTTAACCCTGGATACAAAATAACTATAAAGCAACTGCTTAGTAGTACTTAAAGTATCACCTCAAGTTTTAACCAGGACTGTCAATTAATCACAGTTATCACCCATGATTAACTAAAAAATTAATCACAATTAAAACAGTTAATTGTGATTAATTGTAGTCAATCACATTAAACAATTAAATACCAAATTTAATGTATTGCATATTTTGAATGTTTTCTGTATTTTAAAATATATTTATATCAATTGTGACAATTCAAAGTGTACAGTGCTTGCTTTATATTATTTTTATTACAACAATTTGCACTCTAAACATGATAAACAAAAGGAATGGTATTTCGAATTCATGTCATACAAATACGGTAGGGCAACATCTTTATCATGAACATGCACCTTACAAATATAGATTTTTTTTTGTTATATACTGCAGAGCTCACAGCACATGTAACTGTATAACCGCTAGGATTTTTAGCAGTTATATGGTTGCCTTTTAAAATGATTTTTTACATCCCTACTTTTAATACCTGAGAGAGACAAGGTATGGTGCATGCTTTCAGAAGTCTTAAAAAAGCAACACTCCGATGTGGAAAATATAGAATCTTAACCATGAAAAAAGGAAATAAACCTTCTGCTGGTGGCATCTGATTCCAATGATGAGAATGAACATGCTCTGGTCCGCACTGCTTCAGACTGTTATTGAGAACAATCCATCATCAGCACGGACCTATGTCCTCTGGAATGGTGGTTGAAGCATCAAGAGTCATATGAATCTTCAGGGCATTTGGCATATAAATATCTTGTGATGCTGGCAACAAGAGCACCCTCAAACTCCTGTTCTCATTTTCAGGTGACTTTATAAGCAGGAAGCAGGCAGCATGATCTCCTGCAAATGTAAACAAACTTGTTTGTCTGAGGAATTGGCTGAACAAGAAGTAGGACTGAGTAGACTTTGAAGTTTTACACAATTTTATTTTTAATGCAGAGCTTTTTATATAATTTTACATTTGCAAATTCAACTTCCATGACAAGGAGATTGCACTACATTATTTTCAAATGGGGGAACTAAAAAATACTATTGTTTCCTGTGACAGGGTACAGTCACAGAAGATCCCTTGGGGCTGCTTCCCAGTGTGCTGATAAAGCCACTTACACTCGCCTCCTTGCCCTTTGGGGCTTCTCACCATCCCATCCTGCTGGGCCAGATCTCCTGGTCTCCCCCAGCCAAGGCACAGGGCTGAGATCACCTCCCACCCCCAAAGAGCAATACAGACACGAAATCACTTCAGCTACTAGGAGAATGCAGTTTCGGGCACAGCATCCAGGAAATCAACCCCCAAATGGGATCAGAACCCCAAATAAACCATCCAGGCAAGCCCCCTGTAACAATGAAAGAATGATGGCTCCCCCAGGTAACAATTGTTTACACTGGGCTTGTAATAAAAGTAATTTTATTAAGTACAAACAGTAGGATTTAGGGGCCTGCCAGTGAAAACAGAGCGAAGTAAATTACAAATTTAAAATAAAAGAAAATACATAGCTAGTTCTAACAGACTAAGGCATATTGCTAACTTACCCTAAATCTATTCTTATTTCCGGCAAAAATCTCCAAGCCAGGGAAGATCTTTTTCTCCCTGGGGTTTCTGGCTCCCTTAGGGCATTTCACGCCAACCAAAGATGTCAACTGATAACTTTACAGTTTAAATAGACTTTCTTTTGGGTGAGAATTCTTTGTTTCTACATCCTCCCCCTTCCATGGGAAATTATTTGGTTAGATCCTACCAATTGGGGTGATCATGTGTCTTCCTAAGACCAACCACTACTTAAAGGACAAAGGAGGCTGTTTACATGGTCATCAAGTTGATCACCCAGACATTGAGGTGTCCAAGCATTGGAAGCCGCCTTGATGGCTTTCATTTGCACGTGTAAAATGATCAACCATTCCCTACCCCGTAACTCTAACTTTGCAGACAAAAAGCTTCAGGGGGTAGCTGAGTTAGTCTGTACAGGATAAATAAATTCCAGTCATTTGAAGAAGTGGGCTGTGCCCACAAAAGCTCATGATACCATCTATATGTTTTGTGAGTCTATAAAGTGCTACCAGACCATTTGTTAATTTACATATAAGAGTGACTCATACCAAAATAAGCTATACAGATCCAGGAGACTGAGACATTACAATTGATAGATTACATGACATATTGTATCCAAAGCATCTTCGAGTTACGCATATTTGTATCCATAAGACAATTTCATAAAGCTTGTAGGGGGGAGGGGGGTCCATCATACTTTTGGTTTTCACATTCAAATATTTGTAATAAAATAAATATAAACTGAGCACTGTAAACTTTGTACTCTAAGCTGTATCCAAATCAATATATTTGAAAATGTAGAAAACATACACAAACATTTAAATATATGGTATTCTATTATTGTTTAACAGCGTGATTAATTGTGATTACTTTTTAGATCATTTGACAGCCCTATTTTAACCTAATTCTGCTTCCACTGAGTCAATGGTACATCTGTCACTTATTTCAATGGGAACAGAGTAAGACCAACACTAAGAGCTTTTGAAACCACCACCTTAATCTGTAGATTTTTGAAGCGCTTTAATAAATGGCTCCACAAAGTTGCTCACTAGGTGTGTGCAGCAAAGTTGCTTTAGTGTGCAGCAAAAGGATCCACAGGGAGAGTTAGAGCATGACAGGCTTACATCTCAGTTTGCTGCACATTAACTATTAGACAACACAGGCCACCAAACAATATCCCATAATTGTCTTAGATTTTAAATACACACAGTCCAAAACAATTTCAGCATGTTGGCATACAGCTGACAGATTCACTGCCAGCTGCAGCTGTAAGAAACAGAGCTTATTTTAAAAATACAAAATATCATTTGAAATGACAGGGCATTTTAAGGCCTCAAAATTTCACTTTTGTAAAATGGAAGTTTTTGAAGTGAAGCTTATGAAACTGTTTTGATATGAAAAAAATCAATCTTCAGAATAAAATTTCACATATTACAATCTTGAACGTTTTCCATTTTCATTCAAAACCAGCCCCTTTTGCACTGAAAAACCCATAACATCCATGAGGCATTTATTGGTTTTGATTGTTTACAAAATCACCTCAGTTTTCCCCAATTAAAAAGAAACATGGACACCAAAAATATACAACTTTTTAAAAATTCACCATGACTAATTCAAAAATTTTAAACTGACAAAAAACAGTAGTTTGGAAGTACCATTTTCAAAAACTTAAATTAAGTTACTTTGGAGCTCAAGTCCTACTGGCTTTGAATGAGAGTTAGCTCAGACATGTAGGCCCTTTTGAAAATGTTACCCTAGGACAGGTCTTCAGCTCAGTACTTTATTTGAGCCAACACAGAAGAGTCAAAACCATTTTCACATTGGGTGGCTAGAGGGCATAGTGAATAATCAGATTTCTGCTGCCAGCAACAAGTTTCTCCCCATGCAGATACAAGCCTTTCTGATTGTTCTCATCAGGTTCCCACAAGAAAAAAAATTCACCTCCATACACCCACTGTAAGTGAAATGCCACAGTGCTACATGATGGCAGAAAAGAGAAGCAACAGAAATCCCTCAGTCCTGGGGAATAAAGACATGCTACACTTCAGAAAAATGCTGCATTCTCACACTAATTACCCTGAAGAGCAGCTGTGCTCTAATAATCAGACACATATGGGAAAACGCTTTCTAAGCACTCCTGGCTCTGCACTCAAGCCCTGATGGATGGATTTGTCTCCATAATAGAGAAAGCAGAATTTGATTGATGGTGCTATTGGTTTCTCATTGAAGGTTAAGCTATGTTCTCAACTGTAAAAAGAAAATAGTAACAAATAAATCTCTATACATTTTTAAAGAATTTGGATGCTTCATAGAGATATCAAGAGAATCTGGAACTCCAGTTCACCTCTCTGCAATTTTAGATCAAAAACTTTAAAAACCCATTGATACACATAACACTAAAAGGCATGCTGTCATCTCAATGCAAGATAATGCCAATTGACATGTTAATGATAGCAACACATGCACCAAGAAAAGAACAAAACCCAAATATCAGGTAAAAATAATCCTTCAATGTCTGCATTTTTAATCCTTTCTTCCATTGCACACACGAACAAGTGGCACATGCTCTATACCAAACATGGCTTTCCTTAAATTCAACATTACTTTTATGAGAGTTCTCAGTTTAATATTTTTAATAGCCCTTTTTCACTCGTTTAAAGCTACATTGAATCTGCCCATACATCCTCCCCCTCAGGATATTTATTGATTAAATGTAATCAGGAATTTATTCACCCTCATGTACTCTCCCAATACGAATTATTAGAAGATTTACCCAGTGTTTCTCAGGTCCTTAACTCAATTTTCATAGAATCATATACTCATAGAATTCTAGAACTGGGAAGGACCTCGAGAGATTATCAAGTCCAGTCCTCTGCCCTCATGGCAGGACCAAGCACAGTGTAGATCAGAGGTTCCCAACCTGGGGTACGTGTTCCCCCAGGGGGTACGAGAAGCTTGTCAAAGGGTACAGGGAATATTTGGTAAATAACTAGATTATCCTAATTGAAATATTCCAAAAGTAGTAGTGTTAGTGAAAAAAGTAGTGAATTCAGGAGTCTAGAATTTATTTCCTTTCATATTGAATAGGGGGTACGGGAAGGTTTACTAAAAGCCAAGGGTGTACGGGGACTGAAAAAGGTTGGGAACCCCTGGTTTAGATCATCCTTGATGGCTATCTGTCTAACCTGCTCTTAAATATCTTGAGAGATGGAGATTCTACAATCTCCCTAGGCAATTTATTCCAGCGGTTAACCACTCTGACAGTTAGGGTTGCCAGGTGTCCGGTATTGTATCAGAGAGTCCGGTATTTGAGCGCTCTGTCCGGTAAAAAAAAAAATCAGAAAATACCGGACATGTGCACTGGACGGAAGCCTGGCATGGGTGGGGGAGCGGCTGGACCCTGCAATCCCAGCTTCATTGACTATGTCAGGTAGCCTATTTTACATGCCTCTGCCGACAGAGGCATGTATTATAGACATACCCCAAGAGACCTATTTCTTAGTGTGTCTGATTATGCACAGGAGAAGTAGTTTAATGCACTAGCCTGGTTGAGTGTGTAAGTAAGTAGGATTTTGATATTCCTAAGTTTAACTCCTTTTAGTGTATTTATCCATACCTACATATCACATTATCAGGGGAAGAACCAGGATGAGCAGGGATGCTAGATCTCAGGAAGGAGGTAAAATCGCATAGATGCCCAGGGAATCTTGCAAAACAGCTGCCTGCTTTCTGCTAGGTTCCAGCATTATCATCAGTCCTTCACTTTCAAGGAGCAACAAAATGAATCTATTTCCACAAAACCCAGATATTTTGAAAAAAGCATCAGTGCTTTCAACAAATTAGATTTATATTATATTGCGCCTTTTTGGAGCAATGGAAGTTTCACTTACATAATTAGGTGGATTTTTTTTAACCACCCATTAATTTTTTTAACCAGAAAGGTAGCTATTTAAAAAAATGTCAGTGTGTTTTATCACCTCTAGAGAACACAAAATATTTGTTTAGCCGGCCTATTCCTTCAATGGGCTTTTTTCTTCTTTCCTTTCCTTTTTAAAAGGGATATCCACTGTATTTTTCACCAAAATGAAGGTAATTCACTGGCTGAGAATTGTATAGCATCTGCAGTGACTCCTTTGATGGAATTTCTAATGAGTTTTCCCCTTACTGTTGGTCAACCTCTTTCTCTCTTCTCAACTGACAACCTATTTAGAAAAGCTGATTACTTTCTCTTTGTGTGACAAGTAAATAAGATGATAAAAGGGATCACTTCCCAAAGATATCTTAAGTAAGCCTG